ACGAGTGTTGCACAGGCATTTTTCGTAAGTCCAGCGCGTTTAAGCATGTTCTTGATGACCGGGCCGACCGATCTAGATTATTCAGTTTGAAGAGAATTTCAAGGGCTATCTAACAGTACAGTTTTGAAAAATATATATGAAGAAGTGAAAAAGTTATTGCAAAATGACCTGCCCGCTTTTAGGCGAAAACTGCAATGTTTTAATGGAAATTCAATATCTCAAGAAAGAAAAAGAGTTTCGAAAAAAGCTAATTATTCTTTTGTAAAGGGATGATCTATTGTGTCTCTTGGAAAAGTCATATATTTCGAGTAATAGAATACACAGTTCAAAACCGCAGTATTTTTCTTTACACAGTACAGTAAATTACATACAAAAAACTATGCTTTGTACATGCTTTGTAGTAATGCTCTGTACATGGATCGACCGACCTGAGGAAGGTAGTAAATATCCTAAAAGGATTCTTACCCATGACTCTTGAAGACATGGTTCATTGCGAATATATGTTCAGTTGAAATAGAACAGCAAATTCGATTTTTTCATTACCTCGTACACAAATTTTCGCTTTAACCCTTTGACTACCATAGTATAAAAAAAGCTACACCTGTTTTTTTCATATTTCTCATAATGTAATTCATAAAAATTAGTACGTAATATATTGAAAAGGAGTACTACTACTACTATTCGATAGTCAAAGGGTTAACGCTGAATTTCGATCTGTATCGTATTTTCTATGGCACGTTTTGACAGAACATCATAGAAACTTGATCAACATCTCATTTTGTAGAGAACTGAACGGACTATCTGATGATGCGTTTGAAAAACTTCTGAAAGAAAGGAGAAGGCCATTTTGTGATGAAATTGACCCGTTAATAGAATTCAGTTTGATTCGTAAGGTAGGTACAATGTGAGTAGGTGAGTCGAACTGGGCATCTTCGAAACCTTAAAACTACTTCTCAAGAGAAATTTTGTCAATTGGATATTTTCTCGACTCGAAACCTAGTGAAAATCGTATTTATGATGTTTATCGTTCCCCTTCACAGTTAATCACACGTATTATATACCACTCGAAAGCTATTTTCTTCGGCAACATTTTTATATATATAACACATTGAAAATTAACACAATGCATTTGAGCAGAAAATAAATCAAAATAGCATTTCCTACTTAACAAGCGTAGAGGCGTGACAATATTCCCGTACCACGTGATCTTGATTTTCTATGGTTTTTTCCTGAATAAGAGACGAAAAAGTGGGAATTCTGCTCGTAATTCTCAATTTTATTCAACAGAACTCAAATTCTATGTAATAAAAATACTATATTCGGAATAAGGATCAAAAATCGAATCGATGATATGTATTTGGAAATTTTTACTTGATTTTCGTTTTTTGGCTCGATGATTTTCAACGTGAAAATTTCAAAAGAAAATTAAATTACTCGGATAGGATAGAGATACACATCAGTCGATTCGATTTTGGATCCTGATTCTAAATATAATATTTTTATTACATAGAAGTTGAATTTTGTTGGATAAAATTGAATTACGAGCAGAATTACGCCTTTTTCGCCTCTGATTTGGAAAAAAAACATAGAAAAGCAGGATCACGGGATACGGGAACGTTGTCAAACCTCTTCACTTGTTAAACTTTAAGGACTCGAATGAAAATTGTTAATTTTCTCAGACACAGTTGGTTCAATTTTTGCCATAACTTGTGGGTATATGTCACTTAATGTGCGCTGTCGAAGTGAGTAACAATAAGAGGTCCAGCTTTAATTTTGAATTTTTTATAAACTTTTTTAAATAAAGGATCAAAACCGTATGAAATTCTTCAAAAATTCTTTTCTCAGCAATTAGAAGTCTGTTCAATCGAAAACACTCGATGAACACTTTGCACAGCTTGATGCGTTTTACAAAGTTATGGAAAAAACGGCGGTTGTTACTCTCCCCCCCTTAAGACACATAGTCTAATATTTGATCTCATTCAATTCATCATACCATTAGTCATAAAAGTATGCATCGCTTTTCTTTTGTTGAATTTTCTTTCTTGAGAAAAGCATTTCTACTGATACCATATAGAAAGCGGAACGCCATAAATAAAACTACGATCTTTTACTCAAATGAAGCTCAAGCTAAATAGCCGTATTTACGTATTTTCGCGTCAAATTAGAAAATTTATAATCCATTCAAAATCTATCCAAACTAAGTCAGAATATCAAAATGTACTCCATTTTACCTGCTCAATATGATTTTTTACTGGAGAATGGTAAAAAATATTCTTTTACTTTGGGAGATTTCTAGAAAACCTTCTCATAAACCTAAGTATTTTATGTTGATATTAAAAAGTTCTGTCAAACTTCATGGTAAAGCGTAGATAGAACAGAGTACATTTAGATATTCGTTTTTCTAATTTTAGGCAAAAACGAGTTATTTCAGCTAATACCGGTTTTCATTGCTTATTTTCTTTTCATCACTTTCTTTCGAAAACCAATGGTGCCACAAAGTGCAGCTTTGTCGAACATCTATGTTTCCATTTATTTCTGCAGTTACTACGCCTTGGGAAATATCATGGACCTTCGAGAAAATCTGATGTCGCGCCTTGGCCGCAAAAGATGAAGAGGTCTTTTGAGAGGCACTTTGGACTATCTATCCATATAAAAAAGATAATGTAGCTTTCATCATATCAGGCAGGATATGAGTGCCCTCGTCGTGTTGAACATTATCTTTCTGGAAAAAAATCAAACTGTTATAACTTTCTAGATCTTCTAACTGCATCTGTTTATCGCTCCACTCAGTTGACTTTCCAATCTTCTTGTTGGCATCTAGTTCTTTCTTTCAAGACCCTCTTTTCTTTCGAGTCACCTACTCGTTCTTGGCCATTTCCGATCATAGAAATTTGGGGAAAAGATTTTTCGAAAGTGCAGGAGTCATATATCACATATCTGCTGCAGATTCGCACATTGATGAATTCTGGATCCTTTTTGTTGAAAAGACTGGAAGTGAAGATATATATTGAAAAGTAGCATATTTCATCATTGTTTGCAAGGCTCAGCACTATGACATCATCTTCGATAGATGGGGGATTTTTCACATGAAAGGAAAAGAACGACGAAGTTTTTAAAGAAAAGAAAAGAGGAAAAATAATGCAAACCTTTTCTGTATTCATTCCTTCATTTAATAACAAAATGCAGAGGCAGAATCTTTTATATTAAAGAATAAAACATATCGTTGTCTTCTTCTTTTCTCAGACTTGCATCATTTTTCCTCTTTTCTTTTCTTTAAGAATTTTGTCGTTTTGTCACAGTTTCATGTAAAAAATTCCTTGATAATCGACATGCATCGAAAATGATGTCATAGTCCTGAGCCATGCAAACAATGATGAAATGCGCTACTTTTGTTTTGTTATTTTGATTTCATCAGATTGTTGATGTGCCTCAACTAATTGGTTATTATTTGTATTGTCAAGAAATGGTTGCTGATCATCACATGCATTTGACTCGATATTTTGGATTTGTAACTGATTCGGAACAATGTGATGTTGAGTTACAGATGAGCTATAATGGAAATTCTATCCTACATCCAAAACATAGAGAATTTTCTTTCTTTCCGTGCATCTGATATTCACATGTTGTTTTATTATTTGAAAGAATGGCAGAAAGTACAGGAGCTGTGATGCTCCGGCAAGGTATTAGTGACTTTTCATATTTCAAGTGATTCGTTTAGAAACCTAACTTTTGTTTGAGCACTTCCACCTTGAGTGATGATGTGTCAGTGGTAAAGTGTTGCATACTTTATGTCTTTACATTTTCTTCGATTCCGAAAAATGAGACTCACATATGAACATAACCACTATCCATCCAAGTTTAGCTTCGATGAACTTTTAATGGTAAACACTTTTCGTTAATTTCGTAAATTCTCCTTTAAAGACAATATATATCCTTGATGTTTATTTTGTCTGTTAGGTTCGAAAGTTCGCTCTGAAAGACGAAAGTTAAATTAACTCTAACTTTTAAGACTGAACATTTAAAAAATGAGAGAGAGACAGAGAAAGAACGAGGGACGCCCAAACTACGGTTTTCTTTATATCTTTTGCTTAAGAAGAAGCGGTTGTGCATGCATAAAAACAAAAAGTAAAGCGCAAATTCGAAATCAGCGTGTTAAAAAAATCTACAGACAGTTATTTTTAGCTCAAAATAATCTAGACAGGTCGCTCAGTAGGTCAACTGACCTAGTTTATTTTGTACAGTGTACACAAAACACATAAATATCTTATCAAAACGATTCTTTGACAGGACTATACAAGGGAAACTATTCGACCAATTCATATCAACAGTACTTTTACCATTCAGTCGTTTGAGTATGTTAGGTGTGTGTGACAAAAATGCGTTTAAAATCTTTCCTGCTTGTCAGAACAGTCAAAAGAAAAATATTTTTCTCCTTTCTACGATTTTGCAGCGAGATCTATGCACACTTGAGAATATGAATAGTTTACAGTGTACAACAAACTTCGCGACAAAACAAGAAGGCAGCCATTATCTACGAAGGAACATTTGAAGTTATAAACATATGTCAAATATCACCATGCACTTCTTATAATTAAAAATTCTTTTTTGCTTTATCTGTGTTATTTTATATAATTATACGTTAAAACAATAGTTCTATGTTCAACTGAGAAAATTTATTTCTATGACTAGAAAGGGCTATATTTTATTCTTATAATAGAAGAGATTCTGCCTCTGCATTTTGTTATTATAGATGGTGCAATACAGAAAAGTCTTGCATCATTTTTTCTATTTTCTTTTCTTTAAAAACGTGGTGTTTCTAAGCTTCACAACAAACGTGGAAAGAAAAAAAATATTTTTCGTTTGACTATTCTGACAAGCAAGACAGTGATTAAACGTATGTTTGTCCGACAAGCCTAAACATTGAAATGACTGAATGATCAAAATGTTCGTACTGCATCCATAAAATAAAATACTTTTAGATTCTCATTTGATATCGAAGAATGACTAGTGAAACCTCAAATTTGGCTCCGGATGGTGGGTGGGGATGGATTATTGTCTTATGTTCATTTTCAATCCATTTTGTTATTGATGGTATTACATACAGTATGGGGAGTGTTTACTTAGAACCCATGAGAAAATCGTTAAAAAGAGGAACAGGAGCTATTGGAGCTATATGGTCCATATTACCAGCTGTTTATCTTCTCGTTGGTATGTAAGAACACGTATAATTGGAGTGCTCATCTACTATCAGAACTATATTGACACTATCATTCTAGGGGTAATTGCTACGATTTTTACGACACGTTTTGGATGTCGACTGGTGGCTATCACTGGTGCCTGTGTGGGTGCTGCAGGATTCTTTCTTGCATTTTGTTGGAAACAGTTGTGGTTTTATTATATTACTATCGGAGCAATTGGAGGTAATCAGTATAAGCGAAAACCATTACTGGTAATAATACAGTTATCCACACAGCATCTTAAACTAAAACTGATCACTAAGAGGCAAACCAAGATCGAACAGATTCTACGTCATAACGTCTGTTGTTATGCTCGACTATAAACGTTTTTGTTTAGGCCTTGGTTTTGGCTTATTATACTTACCGGCCATTGTAAGTGTTAATTATTATTTTGAGAAGAAGCGTAGTTTAGCGATGGGTTTTGCGGTGTCCGGTGCAGGATGTGGTACCATGGTATTTCCTCATTTAATGCCAGTTATCATTAACCGATTTGGTTATGAAATGGGGTTATTAGCTGAATCAATAATCCTACTTTTTTGTGTCGTATTTGGATTATTAATGATACCACTCCCAAGTGAACCAAGTGAAGTAAAACGAAAACAGAAAAAATTAAAAGCATCAAATTTAACAAAAATTACCCAGATACCAGTAGAAACAGCAACAAATAACAGGTAAGAATCACTGTTGTTTTCCCCTAAATGAAAGGAGGGTCAAATCCTTTAAATTATCCGCTTGCTTCTCTATCATCGTAGCAATAAGAAACGAATAAAATAAAAATAAAAGCTAGAAAAATTCTTTCAATGAGTTAGTATAAATAAGTGCCTATCTAATCTCATGGTAAAAGTTGACTAGATCACAACTTAGATCGTTCTGTTAGGCATGACGATGTACTAAGCGTTAATGTTGAAAGTGGAGGGACCAAAATGGCACGGTGCACTTCACCATTTAGTTTGTGCTAAACCGTCACCCCGGTCACTGACCAGTTCAAAGACTCTATCCTATATCCAAAAAATAGAGAATTTTCTTGCTTACAAAATCTCGTGTATCCGATATTCACACATTGTTTCATTTTGCCAAAAAATGGCGCAAAGTACAGGTAGCAAGCACACTGCAGACGAGACGTACATATTTTATTAAAAAAGTTTACTGCAAATGAAAGGCTTTTACCCATCCACTTACCATTTACTATCAGTAAATGTATTTGTACCATTTATGAGACCTTTACATATGATGTACTTGAAATGAATGGGTTATGCGCTAAAATGTCGCATTTAGGTACGTGCCATTTACATCCAAAGGGCATAATCTAGTGTATTTTCGATGGAGTTACAAGAACATCGTAGTGCATAATGAGTGAATGGACAGTAACACTTCATTCAACACTGCCATTCTCATGTCATGCAATATTTTACGCGCATTTGAGGATCGCTTTCAGTGCATAACAAGGGCATGTCCAGTGAATAAAAGGCTATACAAAATATCGCTGTTAAGAATGCTAATTTCAGTGGTTTTCACTTTGATTTGCATGCTGAAATCTATGAAAATGTTGACCGCATGTCGGGTTAGTTGCGAAAAAACCACTCTTGAAACAGGATTGATTTCTGACCAAAATAACATGCAGTCGGCGTTTTCACAGATTCCAGCATGTAAATAAAGTGAAAGCCAGTTAATTTAGCATTCTTAAAAGTGATATTTTGTAGAGCCATTTTATTATTGTACACTGACAGTAAAACTAATTCTGTATTAGAGAATAGTTCAATGCTTTTGAGATCACGATGTGTAGATGAATCGCAACAATATTACAAATCTGTTATTAAATCTGAAAGTAAATAAACATTGAATTAGAGTGCGCAGTGTACG